GAGTTGGGTGGGTTTGGGGGGTTTATTGGGCGTCGTCTTGTTGGAGGTGGCCTCAGGAAAATGCTTATGAGGTATCATCTTATTGGAGGTGACTTCCAACATGGGGCTTCTTGGGCATCATCTTACTGGAGGTGATCTCAGGGACATGGTTCTTAGGCATTGTCCTATTGGAGGTGACCTCAGACATGGTTATTGGGTGTCATCTCATTGGAGGTGACCTTGGGTGGGCTCAGATAACACTCCGAGACACCATCCCCAGCCAGAGCTGCTTTATTCCTCTGAGGACTTCCCCCACCCCACACAGGGAGGTCACCAGCTGTGGGGCAAGCAGTGAAATCGTACCCATCCCCAAAACTGGCGGATGGGGGGGTGGGGAACATCCGGGGGGGGGCAGTTGCTGGTGGCCAGATGCAGGGTGCTGTCCCCCCACACTCTGTGGTCCTTCAGGCCTCTTTCGGTGGGGCCTTGTCCTGGAGCTGGAGGGGAATCTTCTCTTTGGGGTCATCTGTCTTCTTCCGTTTGGCCCTGGAGAGAGAAGAGGAGGAGGAAGAGGGTCTGTGGGGTGTGGCAGGATGGAGCAGCCAGCAGTAGGGCGGGAAGCAGCCCAGCTGGCACCGTGTCCGTCCATCTGTCCAGCCACTCACCACACATCCTGCCAACACACCCGTCCACTTGTCCTCCAACACATCCATCTGTCCCTCCATCCAAAAACCCCTTCATCTTGAGGTCCGGCCTTCCAGCCATTCATCCATCCATCCCTCCATTGTCCCTCCATCATCCATCCATCATTCATTCAAAACTCCACCCCCTTTGTCTACCACCCCACCCCTCCATCCATCCAGTTGTTCACCAATCCATCCATCCACAAAATTCCAGCCATTCATCTACTACTAGATCCAGCCTTCCATCATCCCTCCACCATCCATCAATCTCTCCATCCACCCATCATCCATCCCTCCATCCACTCCTCCCTCCCCTCCTGCCACCTGCCCACCTGCTCTCCACCTCCTCGATGGTATCGGGCAGCGGCATGTTGAGGGTCTCTGGGAGGAAGCCGGCTGCCACGGCTGCCACCACCGGGGCCACCCCGTAGACCGCAGGGGGCAAGAAGGGGTAGTACTCATCCATCATCTTCACCAGTGGTGCCACAATGCCACCCACTCGGGCCATGGTGCTGCCAAAGCCCAGCCCAGTCTGCCTGCCGACGTGGTGGGGGGGGTCAACGTTGAGGTAGAGACCACCCTGGGGGGGTGTCGTGGGTGGGGGGACCTATCCACTGTGTGGTCATGGGGATGGGGGATTTACCTGATGGGCGTGGGGTAGAGCTCGGTGGTGTAGAGGAAGACGCAGTTGAAGGAAGCAGAGAGGCAACCCTTGCCGATGACGGCCAGCGCCGTGCGCACTGTCTGCAGCTCTGAAGCAGAGAGAGGGACGGGGTGGACTCTGTGTCTGGGCAGGAGCCACCTCAGGGATGGCGGGAAGGAGAAAGAAGGCAGGACGTAGGGATGGGTAGATGGTTAAGTGATGGATGGATGGATGGATGGAGAGGTAGGCAGGTGCATCATTCAGTGGCTGGAGAAGATGGGTGAAGAGCAAAGCAGAGTTGCGGGGACATGGGTGGCTGGACAGAGGGGTGCAGAAGATGCCCATCACCCCACCGCACCCACCTGTGGAGACAAAGATGTTGGCAATGATGACAAGCCCTGCCAAGAAGAGGGCCACCATGAGTGACACACGTCGGCCGATGTAGCTCAGGGAGATGGTCACCACCACTTTGGCCGGGAAGTCGACGGCACCAAAAATCACCTGGATGAGGTAAATGCTGACACCAAAGTTTTGCAGGTCCATGGCCAGCCCATAATAGGAGAAACTGATGGAGAACCTGGAGCAGGGCAGAGAGAGGCACGGACTTTGATGTCAGCATCACATGGGACAGGGCAGGGATCTCAGATGGAGAAGGGGGCTGTGGTGCAGTTGGATGGCTGGATTCGCTGGTTGTCTGTCCATCTTTGCATTTATCCATCCATACATCTGACCAACTCTCCAGCCATCTGTCCAGCTACCCTTCCATCCAACCTTCTGTCCAACCAACCAACCAACCATCCCTCCCTCCAACTGTCCACCCACCTCTCCATCCCTCCATCCCCCTCACCCACCCCACCCTCCTCCTCCTCATCCCCACCATTCTTCCCCAGCCCAGCCCCACCAGACGATGGAGAGGCAGAAGAAGATGTGACGGATAACTGGGGTCCGGACCAGGTCGGAGATGGTGTAGGAGGACTTCAGACCATCCAGCTCCTCTTTCATGTTGGACCTCAGGATCTGGGAGAGGACAAAACAGGAGACGTTGGTGGAGGACAGGGGTGAGAAACCAAGACACCCCCCCCACACACACACCCCCCCATGGGGCCACCAGACCTCCACCGTGATCTTCTCCCCTTCCTCCTTTCTCTTGTTAATCCTGGCCACTCGCTGCAGGACCTTCACAGCCCTCTCAGCCTTCCCTGAGAGCACCAGCCAACGGGCGGACTCAGCCAACCACCTGCAGTCAACGAGGCGGGGGAAACTGAGGCATGAAGAAGAACCCCACGTGTCCCCATGGCCTTCCCCAAGGGAAATGTCCTACCAAGAGTAGAGGAGGAAGACGAAGAAGGGCAGGGAGACGGTGAGCTGGAGCCAGCGCCAGTGGGGGACGGCATAGGCCACGCCAGCCAGCAGGATCTGGCCCAGGGTGTAGGCAAAGCCGGTGATGGCCACGGTGATGGCGCGGTAGGGCGTGGGGATCCACTCCACCACTGCAAGGGACCATGGGGACACGTCTGAATTCATGCCCTCCCCCCCAGCCCGTGACCCTCCTTGTGAAGGTGGCCTCCACATCATGTCCACATGCATCTGCACCACATGGCCCCATAGGTGACCACGGTGATGTCCCCATCAGGGACCACTGAGATGTCCCCATCAACAGCCGCAGGGATGTCTGTAGAGAGGGGGAGGTCCCCATCCATGGCCGGTGGGTTGTCCCCATCCATCGTCATGCCAGTTGTCCCCATCCAGGTCCCTCATCATCCTCTCACCTAGGCAGGCGATGCTGAGGCCGAAGCCGGAGAGTGCCATGCCACCGGCGAAGCGGAAGACGCAGTAGGACGCGTAGTTGGGGGCAAAGGCCGTGCACGTCCCCATCACCCCCAGCTGCAGGTAGGACCACATCAACATGGCCTTGCGCCCAAACCTGCAACAGGGAGGCACTGGGTGCCACTGGTGTCACCGGGTGACGATCTGTCTGACGCCCCATGGGGAAACTGAGGCACGGGGAGTGGGTGTCTCTGCTGCCGTTACCTGTCCGAGAGACCCCCCAGGACCAGGGCGCCCACCAGGACCCCGGCCATGTAGATGGACTGGGCCATCTGCCGGAGCTGCCGGTAGCTGCAGACGAGGTCCCACTACGGGGACGGGGGTGAGGTGAGGATGAGCTGTCCTCTCCTTCCTCCATCAGTCCCTTGCTTTTCTCCTCTCTGTCCGTCCATCCCTCCATCCCTCCCTCCATCCATCCCTCCATCCATCCCACCATCCATCCCTCCATCCCACCACCTCCATCCCACATCCCCCCCACGGCCCCATCTTCCCCGTACAGCTCTATCCCTGTCCCCCACCTTGGTGGCCACATGGACACTGTCATCTTCCCACCCTCCACTCCTCTCCCCCATGTCCCCATCCCTACCTCGGTGACGATGGTGGCCACGTAGATGCTGCGGTCGTAGTCCCAGCCATCGTGGCAGGGCTCGGTGGGCCAGGGACCAGCGCTGCCATTGCCGGGGGATGAGGTCACGTAGCGCTGGCAGGACCCCAGGGTGGCATTGTGGGGACCCAGGGTGCCATCGGACCACTCCAGGATGGCACCAGCTGGCCCCAGGGTGCCATTGGAGGACCCCAAGGTGGCATCAGGCTGGACATGGGTCTCCGATGCGCCATCAAGTGTGACGTGGGTGGCACCAGAGATGTGGGTGCCATTGGTGGTCCTCAGGTTGCCATCAAGGGACCTCAGGGTGGCACCAGGGGACCCCGAGGTACCATCAGGGGACCCCAAGGTGCCATCAGGAGACCTCAGAATGGCGTTGGAGGACCTCAAGGTGCCATCAGCGACTGCTGAAACGCCATCGGGGGTGGCACTGG